CCATTTCCTCTTCTTACTAGTGGATGATGTTCCAACACCGAGCTCATTAGCAACCGTTTGGTCACAAACGGGTGTTGCACTATGTGAAGCAGGTATGTCACAACCTACCCTGTTCTTCCCCAGCCATGTTTTCTACCTCATGCATTGAGGCCTCAACCTCAGCATCTCCTACCATCTCTTCCAAATCCACTGCAAATTCACCTGTAGCCTGATCCTTCTCAAGATGATCCCCCAATCATTGAAATAAGGTCATGACTTCTCGCGCATGCCCTTTGCATTTCTATCCTTCTATAACAATAAATGTAATTAATCAAAGTTGAAGAAAGATACATTCTGTGTTCCATAACTAGAAAGACAAATATATTGTATATATGTCTACACTGTACCTTCATATAATCTTGCCATATATCATCACCATCCACCAAAATCCTATTCTCTATATTATTGAATCCAAACCCCGAAGTAGCCATCATTGTGAAAAGTAAGTTATAATTTTTCTTCCATATCTTCAGCTTAGATTCAATATGAGGCGATGCACGCAACTCACACCCAGGAATTGTAGCTTTCAAACTACTCTCTAGTGCTTGGAGATATCCTGGCCTAAAAGTGCTGTTTTGGCACTTCCACCCATTCATATATAAATCTTTCAGTGCTACAATAAGTTGATTTTCCTCTGCAATTGTCCACGTCCTGCATGCACCCCTCTCACTTTGGGAACTTGCACATGTCTCGGACATTTTCTACAATCATTGTCAATATTCAAAATAAAAAAAAATGCAACTATAGTACTAATTTGTTTGGCCCACATACATGTTAACAAAGTTAAGTTCAAATAAAAGATGGAGACATTAATTTATAAAGGCAACACACTTTATACACATAATACATGTACATAAAACATAACAATGTGCTTTAATACATATTGTACGTGAAACATTATATATTGCAAGTTTAAATACCACAAGTATCCTCAAACAATTGGTTGCCCCCTATTACTTATCCACTCATTGTACATATTCAATGCCATTTAATTGTGAAACAAATACCATTCGATAGATGTCTCAACACTATCTATGACATCATTCGTCGCTTCAATATCAACAGGCATATCTTCGGGCAAGTCCTCCTCAAAGGGGTCAACACTCATTTTATTCCTAATTAAGTTATGCAACAAATAACATGCAGCTATTATGCGATTATGAGTGCGCACAAGATAGTAGCAAGGTGCCCTAAGAATTGCCCATCGATTCTTTAGCAGTGCAAAACATCATTCAATGCATGTCCTTGCTGCAGAATGTCTCGGGTTAAACAATTCTTTAGCATTTTGTGGTTCGCCTACACCAACGTCAAACTCATGAATATGATAACGTTGACCCCTGAATGGTGCTAAAAATGCCTCCCCGTTTGTATAACTGGCATCAACTAGATAGTACGTTCCTGTGTGGTATAAGAAGCTTTAAATTACAACTACCCAATAACCAACTATAACCTATATATAGAAGCGTGCAAATCTTCTTCAAAATAACATTAAATATGACTTACCATGTGCAACCTTTAAGCCATTAGGCCTAGTAATAGCATCACGCAATATCCTAGAATCTGAAGTCAACCCTTCCCAACCAGGTAGCACATAAATGAATTTCATGTCTGGAGAACAAACACTTAATACATTTGTCGTTATTCCACCTCTACGTGTTCTATATCTAGCTTGGTAGACTAGAGGGACTCGGGCAGGAACATATGTCCATCTAATGCACCCACACAATTCTACAATGAAAAACAATAAAAATATTATCCCAGTACTGCATGCAATATATCCTTTGTAACGAAAATGAAAAATATAGAAAATATACAATATTGAGTATTTTATCGGACAACACTTCCTTAAATAACTTCCACTTAGAGTCATTATTGTTGTGTAGAACTGGTTCCAGTGACTTTAGCAAAATCCAACACAGCCTCAACACTGCAGTTAGTACCTTGATGAAATGACGACTAACGGTTTCTCCCAATCGAAGGAAATTGAACTTAATTGGCCTATTTTTGTCATCATGGGCTAAAATACTTAGAAACATGGCTACCATATCCTCAATACTGACATTCCTAGTTGAAGATAGTTCGCCAACATCACGCACCATATTACATAATACAACGAATGTGCGTCTGTCCATCCTCATTTGGCTAATACAAGTTGTATCACTCTCACCAATGAGACGGTGTAAGTGTTCAGTTTGTAACCAACTCCTATGTAAAGGTCGTGAGACCTCAACTTTTGTAAAATTATTTTCCATTTACCATATCATCACCATTATCAACACCATAAGATTTTAAAAAATGACCATATCTCGAATATTCCTATTCAAAATGATAAGTAAAATACATAGTTCATTGCTAGGGCTGCCCATGTTTACCTACTTCATAAAAAAAAAAATAATACAAAATAGTTATCACCGATCTAGTGTGAACGAATATGTTGTAATTCAAGTACCAATACACACCACATTGTATAAATCAAAATAGCATCTTAACATTACATACCATATCAATGCAATTGACCATCTCATGATAACTGCCGGGGGGGTGTTTGGTAAACAATATCACATTCCTCCATAACATAAATCAAATACCTTCTACCAAACAAATACATTGTATGTAAAACAAAATTATGCAAATTGGCATATTGACACCATGGTTGACGGGAATATAGGAAAGTACCTCAGTGATGGAGTGGAAGTCGATCTGGCAATTATAAATACCTACAAAAGTAAACAAATATTTGTGATTAGATCCTTGAAATAATAACAGTAACACATAACCCAAAAGTAAACAAGAGTGGTAAATTTATATTTTAAGTTATGGAAGAAGGAGGTGAAGTAATTGATATGTTGACTGTTTTGTGTGGGTGAGGAGGGAGGCTTTTGGTTTTTTTTTTTTTTATGAAAGGCATATGTGGGCGTTGGTTTATTTAAGGCGTTTGACCCTTTGATTTTTATTCATCTACTTAAAGGTCAACAATTATATCATTATTTTATATTCAATACGTAACAAAAAATTGTAGCAAAGTATTCAAAGAAACATGTTAACAACTAAATTTAGATGTACGCATTGTTTTAAGATGTATGTAATTTTATCTCTGAATACTTGTGAACAATGGCTATTGTTATTTGAGTTATACATACATCCATGTGAAAGTCAAACTGAGGAAGTGATTTTTTTCCCTAAAGTTCAAGACTTTCTCTCCTTCTATAAACTCTCCCTCTACCAAGGAAAATTATACACATCAAACCAAAATTGCGAAACCCTAACAAAATTGTTATTTTACATAATTATTCTGATCAAACAAACTACATTCAATTTCAAAAACCATGCCTCACATATTTGTTAATGTACCTAACTTCCATTTTTTAATTTTTTGGATTTTGTTATGATTGATCAAGTAAGAGAAATAAGAAAACCACCAACTCAAAACATGAATTGTTGTCATAAATTTTTGGTTGATTCAAACCATTGATGATGAAAAAAAATGTGAGTAAAGTGACATAATAAAATAAACGAGTTTTATACGTATGAGCCACTCTCTTTAATAATAATAATAATAAAAAAAAAAGATATCATACAGAAAATTTTCTTTTTAGCATATAGTTAGATCCCAATCTTAAACCACCACCTGATCAAACTCAGGTCTGGCAATGTAAATGTCCTTCGTCGAGTATGGGAGAAAACCAAAACAAGAAAGTGTAGAGGAACGATCAAACCACCACCTTATCAAACCCAAGTCTTGAAATGCAAATGTCCTCCGTCGAGTATGAGAGAAAACCAAAACAAGAAAGTGTAAAGGAACAATCCAGGAATACAACTACAACACACACTTATAGTGGCCTGATTTCATCTCTCACATAGTAGATTACAAAAAAATACATAGTATTGTACAAAAAAAAAAAAATACAGGCCTCAACCCAGCAAAGTTTCAGACGTTATCCATGGAGGAAGAGAAGAAGAGATAGAGAAAGAGCACTTGCTTTAGAACTGGCCCTTCTTCCCAGTTCAAACGAAAAAAAAAATGAGGTGATTTCAATTTTTCTTCTTGGAAGCATCTACTACTTCACGCCAAACTACCATATTAAACTATGTAACTAATGCATAAAAAAATACAGAGGCAAGAGATAGAGAGACGATCGAGACAGGGGAGAGAGAGAGAGAGAGAGATAGTTTTTATATTCGACTAAAAGGGAAGGGGACAGGAGGCACCTTTGTCAAATGGAGGGACCAACAATTAAAAGGGAAGGGGAAGGGGTAAAAACCCTACCTACCGTTACTATTTAATGACCAATTTAGTCATTTACTTCCTTATCTAGCCGATGGGCTTACAAATCCCAAACTCCACATGGGTTTCATATATTCGGATCAAGTGGGATAACTAGCCTATTTCATACGGCCGAGTAATTCAAGCCCAACGAATAGTCAATCCCATTTGGAGAACCTAAAGCTGGGATATGTGGGCCCCTAGTTATTTTTATCCAATCCAGCTTGTGATATCCATCTTTATCCTTCCAAACAAACACACCCTTAGGGGGTGTTTGTTTTGCTGGATAAAGTGGGATAAAACAAGTAAGATTGGGTAAAATAATCTAAGGGGCCCACATATCCCTTGTTTGGATCCACGTTTGTTCATGGGATACTCGTTGGGCTTGATTTACTCAGCCCGTAGGAAATCGAACTTTTATCCTGCCTAACTCAGATCTGATTATCCCAGCTGAAATTTGGGATTAGTAAGCCCAACAATAGGATATAAGGTGAATTTACACAAATGCCCTCCAACAGTACAATAGTCTAGGGTTTTTTACCCCAGTTTGTCTCTACTTCAGGCTGGTCCCCTTCCACAGCAAACGACGCTCATTGGTTTATGGTTGTCGAAGGTATCTCTCTCTACATTTCAATGTAGATATATACATACATATATATTTCTATATATAGAAAAAAGGGAATTTTTGTCTGTTTATATGGAAGGCTCTTCTTCCAGATTATTCGAGAATGGTAGAACGTTCTTCTTCCAGATTATTCAAGAATGTGGGAATTTGGGGTTCTGTAATGCTAGAACATTGAATCCTTGCAAGTGTTTGCAAGGTTGTCGACCCCTTGATGGTGTTTCTTGGGATTCTGGGGATTTTTCCGGCGGTTGTCATCGTGAGAGCAATGATGTGTGCTGTGAAAATGATGTGTTTGAGGTGGTTGGGCCGGTGAATTATGACGGTGCAATTGTGGTCTCTTTTCCGCCGAGTAAGAGTACTTGTGAGAACAGATGTTTGAGTAATTGTCATGTATTAGTTTATATCACCATGGAAGTACTAATCTTTGTAAGAATTTATTTGGGTCTACCTTAAATCTTCAAAATCTCATTTCTGATAACACAATTCAGGATGATTTATACTTAAGGGTACAAAAGGGGATAATCACAGAGAAGAACAAAGAGAAAACCTTGGTTTTGATTGGTACAATTTGTGGGTTTTTAGTGGTGTTGATGTTGCATGTTGAAATTTTATTGGGTTGGAGGAAGATGAGGATCAAGAAGACGAAGAGAGAAGAAGAGGAAGGTGTGTTTTCGGTGACGAATTTGAAGGTGTTTACTTACAAAGAGCTTCATGTAGCCACTAGGGGATTCTCTGAGAAGCTTGGCCATGGAGGTTTCGGAGCAGTGCTTCGTGGAAAGTTATCGGATTCTTCCATTGTAGCTGTGAAGAGGCTTGAAAGACCTGGTGGTGGTGAGAGAGAGTTTAGAGCAGAGGTGTGCACAATTGGGAACATTCAACATGTTAATCTTGTAAGATTAAGAGGATTTTGTTCTGAGAATTCTCATAGGCTTCTTGTTTATGATTACATGCCTAATGGTCCTTTGAGTGTGTATTTGAAAAAGGATGGTCAAAGTTTGAGTTGGGATGTTAGATTTCGGGTTGCAATGGGGACTGTCAGAGGCATTGCCTATTTACATGAGGAATGTAGAAATTGTATCATACAAAGTGGTAACCAACGTTGATCAAAAAGGAAAAAAAGTGGTAACCAACAATTGTCAAGCCAAAAAGGAGATAGGATTGGATAGGATTCAAGGGTACAATGGTCAATTAATGTCAAAGGTATTAGATGTTTAATAAAAAAATGTTGTTTGTCAATATCCCAAGCGTATCATAATGCACTATCCAAAGCAGGGATTGAATAACACAAATTACTTTTATCACCCTACAAATCCAGCCCATTAGGATTTCACTAGACTGGTTTGGGATTTAAATCCAAGCCAGTCCAGTCCATCCATGAATTGCCAAACACACCCATAGGGTGTGTTTAGCAAAGGGGACAAAGGGGGATAACCCCTAGTTGGATTGGGTTACATTGTTCGGTGACCCACATATCCTTGGTTTGGATCTATTTTTGTGAATGAGATTCACGTTGGGCTGAATTCCTCAGCCCTTAGTCTTTTCTCCTCTTTATCCTAGTTGACCCACTTTGTTATATCCCATCATAACTTTGGGATTAGTTAGCCCAGTTACCGGATTGAGCTTGCAATTACTAAAATACCCTTGTACAGTAGTAAATGTAGGGGTTTTACCCCTCCCCTTTTTTGTCTTCGTCAGATCTTCTCATTGGTCCTCTCTTCCCACAAGCGGCGCCCACTGGTCCCCCATTGGAAGGTATATATATATATATATATATATATATATATATATATCTCAATCTCGCCTTGTCGTTGTCTCCCTCTCTACATCTGTGTGTGTGTGTGTGTATATATATATATATATATATCTATCCCTGTGGCACCCCTCTTCTTGAAAATCAAAACTCGATCTCCATCTACATCTCAAAACTCTCCTTCACTTCAGATGTAGTATTATTTGTGGTTATTGGTTCATAAGTGTTTGAGTTCTGGTTTGGTGTTTTTGGCCTACGGATGTGTTGGGTGGTTGGTGATTGATGGCTTCAAAACCTGTTCGTGGCTTCAGATCTATACCTAGATCATTTTCTCTTTTCTCCCTCCAAGTCGGTCGTAACAAGACTAGGAAGAGGACCTGTTGAGTATTTGGTGGTAAGTTACTTCATTGTTAGAATTTTCCTTAAATTATTGTCAATTATGAAAGGATGTTTCATATGTTTTTTTTGGCGTCCATTAACACATACTTTCATGTTATTAATTGTAGGAGGATGATTTTGCTTAGCAATATTGTCTTCAACCATGCCTGAATTTTGAATATTTCGGTGTTATATTTTAAAAAGATGAAGCAAGCTCAAGTCACCCTCCTAGTGACAGTGTTGGGAGTTCACCGTCAGTTAACTCTGACTTTGACAGTGATATCATAGTGATCGATGATTGACTGTTGCTTGTGATCGGTCAGGTTGTTTGTTGTAATGGTAACTTATAATAGTTGTATGTATTACAATGTATATGTGTATGTAGCAACTGGGTAAGTATGTTTACCCATTTTTGTGTATGCAACACACAATAGTGTGTGTGCATGTAGTTTCACGCTTCATACCTCCTAGTGTTGCCTTCGTTTTGTATGTATACTTGAAGACAACAAAGAATATAAACATATCGGGTACGTGTAATTACGTAGTACGCTGCCTTACTTTTGCTCTGTCTTTTGTATAAGGCTACGTGTGGTAATGAAATATGTTTAGGTGTTTATCGATTCGTGTATATCGGTTTTTTTTTTTTAAAACAATGTGGGACAATTTTAAGAGCAAATTAATTAGATCAAAATTTTTTGGTATTGCAAACATTAAAACCAAATTGTTTTCAGTTTGTACACTTGGTAACATAGATGAAAATTGGAATGAAGTTTAAAGGTGGACAAAATAAAATTGTAATTTAATGTGAAAGGTAAGAGAATTTACACAAAAATAATGATTTTTTCGTGGGCCCCATAATATACAAATGTACTTCCCAAAGCAAGGATTGGATTACACAACTTTATTTTTATTTTGTCTATGTCCCCTAGACTTGGGTTTTCATTGGATTGGTTTGGATTTTTAATCCAAACCAATCCTAGCCCCCACGTATGTGCCAAATACCCCCTTAGGGGGTGTTTGGATACCCATGGGAGGATTGTGTTAGATTGGATTTGAATCCAAATTCAATTCAATCCAATGCAAAGTAATTTGAGTTCATTTAATCCTAATGAATAGAATCCTATCCTATCCCATTTTTGAATGAAACACATTTGTTTTGTGGGCCCTATTCACAGGTGTAGATGAAAGATGGTGAAATGACTATTGCACCTTTGGTAAAAAAATCTAATCTAATTCTATACCAACTTTAAATTGATATAATGTCAATCCAAAATGAGAATGATTAGTTACTTAATTTTGAATAAAATTTTGATTTGATAATTTGTGTTTTTTAACAACACAAAGCCAAAAAATTATTTATAAATTGCAACACAATTTATCACAAAAAACATATGAATTGCCTAGTCACAAAGTACAAACTATGAAGACCTAGTTCACCTTTGTCTGTTTTGTAATATTCAGTACAAATAGTGCTTTCCTCATATCCCCATCATACATGTGGTTAATACCTGTATACTTCACAATAGCGTATCATTGTATGATCAATTATTTTGAGATACAAAGGTTCATCATGTATTTTAAAAGTAGATTCATTTTATGTAAAATAAAATAATTTTAAATAAACAACTAAGAAAGCAAAAGAAACACTTTGAGCGGCAAAGGCTTCATCTGTTTCAGGTAAAACATTCGAACTAACACATAAAATATACTAATTCAATAACACAAAATCATTCATTATAAATGTGTGTTCAATAATCTATTATTGGCAGTGCAAGTACTGTTGTAGGCCTCCAATGAGACGAATTGTTGCAATATCATAGAAGGTGGAATGACTTATAAATTTTTTGATTGAATTTTGTACAACACAATTTATCACAAAAAACATATGAATTGCCTTTTGAGCGAATCAAAACAACCGACAACAGACGATTACAAAGGGGAGATAGAGGGTTGCTGGGTCACCGGAGCTGGTGGAGTCGGCGGGGTTTCAAGATTGTTATGCGAGAGTGGTAGAGAGACAGAGAGATGGATATGGGATTTTTTAGGGGGTTGGGGAGGAGGAAATTGAGGGGGTTTGGGAAGGGAAAATAGATGGTTAGGGGGGATTTGAGTTTGGGGATTGTGTGTGTGCATTTGACAGAGATAAAGGAGAGAGATGTGAGAGAAAGAATAGCTGACATAGAGAGAGAATAAGGTTTGCTGGTGTTGGAAGTGGCACAGGGGATGCTTGTGGTGCCATTCGCGGTGGCGGTGGCGTTGTAGTGGAGAGACAGATAGAAAAGGACTGGTGGTGCTTGGTTGCTGTTGCTGGTGGTGCTTGGTTGGGATATATATATATATATACCCCAAAGATATATATATAGAGAGAGAGACAAATATATACACACACACACACACACACAAAGAGAGAGAGAGAGAGAAAACCTTACTATATAAGGGCATTAATGTAATTACTTGCCCAATCCTGTCAATGGGCTTACATATCCTAAAGTTTAGGTGGGATTCATTTAGCTTGGTCAAAGGGGATAAATGGCTTAAAATACTATGGGCCGAGGAATTGAGCCTAACGTTTATCCCATTTATTAAATGGGATCCAAAGTTGGGTTTTGTGAGCTCCCGAATATTTTTACCCAATTCAACATGTGTTATCCCACTTTATCCACCCAAACAAACACCCCCTTAGGGCTTGTATGGATGAATTTTGGAAAGGAGTTTGGATTGACTTCTTTAAACCCTTTCCAACACAAACCCTTCTTTGTAAAGATAAGATTCAACATTCAATGATGTTCATACCCATGTTTAGTATGCAACATATACACATGTAGGACCTACAGATATATCATAATTATTAATAATTATTTATCATGTAAATGACTATTTATCCCTTAATTAATCCAATTTATACCCATGTTAAGAGGTACAATTGTCTTTTAGATCTTTAACCTCTTACCCATCTTCTCAAACCACCCTCCCCTAGGTTTGACGAAACCCAAGATCATGGGTTTAATCTTGTGGCAAGCTACAGGCCGGGTTTGAAAACCCGAGACTGAATTTTCCATACAACACATGAGATTTGGGGGAGTTTTGGACTATTTTTCCCAAACTCATCTTGCCAATCCCCATTCCCACTTAAGGGGCTGTTTTGTAAGTGAGAATGGGGCTTGGCAAGATGGGCCAGTTTGGGGAAAATAATTCAACAGACCCCAAAACCCTTGTTTACATGGCTTTTTCAAGTCATAGACAGCAATCCTGACCCGTAGTTGGCCTGACATCTTAAAACCTTGAATGTGGGTTTCATCAAACCCATGAAGGGGGTGGGTTTTAGTCAAGTCATACTTGGATTAGTGAGGCAAATGCCATTTATATATACTCCTAAATTAAACAAACATGAGTATGAATTGGATTAACCAATGAATAATATAGTCATTTATAGGACAAATATATTATAATAATAGTGATATATCCATGAGTTCTACATGTGTATGTGTTGCATACCAAACATGATTATGAACTGGATTCAACATTAAAGCTTATCTTTGTAAGGAAGGGTTTGGGGAAGTCAATCCAAACCCTCCCTAAAAATCCATCCAAACAAGCCATAAAAGTGTGGGTTGGACTAGTGATTTTGGGTTTTCTATGAAGAGCTCAGTAGGGTTGGCAACGAATTGGAGTTGGATCAGATTTTGATTGATTCAAATTTAAATTTAAAATTTTGAATCCGATTTGATAATTTGACAAATTTTATTTTTGTGATCCATATCTGAATCTGTTAACAATTCAAAATTCGATCCGATCCGAATTACTTAATTAATTAAATTTAACAATTTATACCTAAATTTCAATTAAATTTATATAAATAATTACTTACTTTCATTAATATTTATATAAAAATATATATGGGTCGGATTATAATCAGATCAAATATAGATGTATTCAAATTGGAATTCGTAAAATACAAAGTTATTGAGTTTAGAT